ACTCCTAAACACCGCAACCCTAAACCTGACAGAGACCTGGTATATTCATACGAAATTATTTATCATTACTAATTACCATATAATAACGGTTCAATTGCATTAAGACCCTAAGGCAGCGGCGCGATCAGGATGATGTTTGCGATGAGGTTCAGACGCTCCGCGACAATGGCCTCGGCGAAGCTGGGAGCTCTTTATTTGGGGGGGGGGGGGTCCTAAACCCTATGTAGGGTTTAGGGTTTAGGGTTTAAGGGGTTTAGGGGTTTAGGGTATATAGGGTATATAGGGTATATCGGGTTTAGGGTTTAGGTTTGGGGGTTTAAGGGTTTAAGGGTTTAAGGGTTTAAGGGTTTAGGGTTTAGGGTATAAGCCCGAGGTTGAGGTTCCAGAGCTTAGAGTTTGGCGCTCAGCGAGCTTGAGCTCTCTACGGCTTCGGACTCGGCAGCGGCGTCTGCAATCATGTTTCTGCAATCTTTCTGTAGCTGCACTAGCTATATGCAATGGCGAAGTCATTACTCAGACATTCGTTCAAGGGTCTAGATTGCCCTCGAACCCGAAACGCTAAACCCTACAACCCAAAACAAAAAGCTGAAACCCGAAGCTGCAAATCCTAGAATGTCCTAAATAACCCTAAACCCTCAATCATAGCGTTACAGCACCTCGGCCGTTAGGGCTTAGGTTTTAGGCTTACGGGCTTAGGGCTGCCCCCGCTGCTCCTTCCCGTCCTTTGAGCTTCCAGGCCGTCCGTCCATGACACTCTTGCTTGCAGCCTTGGCTCCTAGCATCAGGGTCTTCGGGGCCTCCTGCACTCTGAGGGCCTCTTCGACCTAACTGAACGGCTCGTCTTCGAGCTGGCCCACAGACTCGTGGGTCTTTGTCTGGCTCGTGCTTTTCTTGTGGGTCTCCTGATGCAATTGCTTGCTGTACCAGTACTGCTTCACCCCCTGCTTTGCCCAAGCTTCCAGCTCGTGCTCCCTGCTCGGAAAGTTCGCCACCGCCATGTGACACCTACACCCCAAACCCTAACCCTAAACCTCAAACCGTAAACCCTAAAACCGAGACCCCAGCACCGACAATTTTGGCACTTCAACCATTTTAGTCTTGGAGCGACGCTTTAAGAAACAAGCGAAGAAATCCTCTGTGGTAGGGGCTTCATAACCAGAATCCAGAATAGAGCCCCTTTCGTGGGATCTGTAAACAAGTAAATGCATAAACAACAGAACTAAAACAAATGAAAGCATAAAAACAAATGCACGAATCAATACATATACATATCCATACACATACACATATACACATATACACGTATACACATATACACACATACACACGTACATACATACATGCATAAATCCATCCATGCATGTGTGCATGGATGCATACATACATACATACATACATACATACATACATACATACATACATACATGCATACTTACGTGCATGCATGGATGCATACATACATACAT